ACATGCCCCATAACCCACATAATAGGGCTGTTACCGCTTCCTCTGGGATTCTCGGGAGCGACTGGATGCAGTTAACACCACCTCCGTCACCCCTCCCGCGCCTCGGCCAGCGGCCTCTGTCGCCACTTGACCGCAGTCTGTTTGGACAGACGTGTGGCCCGAGTCATTTGATCGACAACTGTTCGAACACACGCGCGCCCCATCGGCCGCGCTCACCTCTGCAGACACTTGAACATGCCCTCCCCCTCTGGGCCGATGCAATATGGGCCGCTAGGCGAACTACCCGCCTCCCCCTGGGAGAACAAAACATGCAAGTCTTGGACGCCGCATGGACTTGCCCCCACCCAAGATACTTAAGGAACAGTCACCTCTTAATCCTGGAGGGTGAAAAGGGGGGAGGGATCTCCGGACGCCATTTCAACTTGCCCCACAACCCACATAACGGGGCTGACACCCTGTGTCCAAGTTGAGCGTGGCTGAAAGACGCCAGCGAGAAACAGCAGGTCAGCGTAAAGCATGACACCGTGCTCAGCATTCCCCCGACTACAATCGCCTTGCATTCCGGTACAACCCATTGGATGATTATTGCTTGGGCCGTCATGTTCATATTGGCGCAATGACTGAAGTGCGTCACCGGGACAATTGCTCTGCCTGAACTTCCAGAAACACCAAAGTCATTAAAAACTTTGCTTGCTGTAAAGACCGCCGAATCAAAGACCTTCCTATCTAACATCAGGAAGTACAACTCATGCTTCCATATGACGTCGTTTGGCGCAGATATCGTTACACGTCAATTCCTGCCGACTTTCACAGTGGAATGACAAATTTATCATATCGTCGGCTCACTTCGTCCGCCCCAAGAGGTTCAACATAAACTCCTACGAATGTACTTCATCGGTGATGACAATGACAGATTGAATGCAAGCTGCGGAAGTTCCACTGGGCATAAAACTGTCCATAGTTTGTGGACTGCAAGAATTTCTTCATGAACACAATAACTTAGTGCGTTTGCTCAAAACCGCAGTTACAATAACGCCATCTGGTACATACAATATTGTCATTCATTCTGACAAAACGCCTGCTGGACAACATGGACGATGATTCAATGCTCAAACTATAGACGAAGTGGCAATTTTTATAGTCGAAGAACAATCGTAAAGTCGAGGTATTGTACTTCACCGGCAAAAGAACCAACTGACAAAAGTTGCAGAAACTCATCGGTGCTAAGATGCCCAGCAGTTTCCACCTATTTTGTGGAACGGTGCCGATGGATATTACTTAGACTTTAAGACGATAAATCCAGTCAGCGGAGAGGAAACGCACATGAAATGCAGCGCAATGTACTATTACTCATACAGATTAATGGTTTGATAGAATGAAGGTAATCCCCTTTTGGAATGCCGTCAATTCTTTCACTAATACATTGTGGATATGTATGCAAAAATCAAAACAGAACGCCTGCTTTTCATTCGCTTGAATCAGATCAGGCTGGGCTCTGAAGAATACATTCATATGCGTGATGCAGTTACAAACGGCGGTAATACAACAAACGTTGGAAGACTAACGACTTTTCCATCCACATATACCGGCAGTTCACGTCATATGCATCAGCACGCTCAAGATGCAATTTCTCATGTTCGCCAGTAAGGGTGTCCAGACCTATTAATTTCATTCACATGCATGCCCGCTTAGGGCGATATTCAGCAGCTCTTACTTCCTGGTCAAACGCCGGTGGATAGGCATGACATTACAGCACGTGTTTTCAGGCGGAAGCTGAAATCGCTGGTGAAATTCATGGTGAAACACGAGCTGTTTGAGTCTGTGCGCTGCTGGATGTATTCAGTGGAATGGAAAAAGCGGGGACCGCCTCACACATATGTGTTGATCTGGCTCTATAGCAAGATCGCCCCCAACGAAATCGACGATGTAATAGGCGCTGAATTACCTGTCGTCGACGTCGAGAAGTATTTGCATAAGTTTTAACGAAGAATATGATACATGGACCTTGCGGTACATTGAATCCCAATTCCCTGTGCGTGATAGACGGAAAATGCTCTAAGAGATTTTCTGGGCATTCGTATGCAAGACTGTTACCAGAAACGACGGAGATCCCTTATAACGAAGACGATCAGTGAAGGACGACGGTAAATTGGCGACCGTTTAACTGCAAACCGGTAATATACAGGAAG